GGACAAACTGGAAGGAGTCCAGGGTAGTGAAACAAAAAATTATCAGGGGTCATGACATTAGAGAAAGAGTTGGAAGAACTGGGATTAGTCAGTCTGGAGAAGACAAGACTGAGGGGAGAAGATTTGATAAATCTTCAGTTACAAAAGGTTGTTTCAACGAGACTGGTGGCCAACTATATTCTGTGCTCACAAGATACAGGATAAGTAGCAAGAGCCTTTAATTACAGCAAGGGAAATTTAGGTTCAATGTTAAGAAGAACTTGCTACTACTAGGGTGGGTACATACTGGAATAATTTCCAAGAGAATCGTCAATGTTGGAGGTTTAAGGACAGGTTAAACAATTTGTTAGAATGCTTTAGACAGGGATGTTCCAGCCTTATGCAGGAGTTGAACTACACTACCTCCTGAGGTCTCTTCAACTATATTTTAATATTAATAGACAATACAGAAAAAGTGGGGGAAAAATAACCCCAAATAATGCTTTCTTGCACCAGTACCTAAGCCAGCAGATGATCCTACTTCACAGCTATTACTCAAATCTATTTTTGGCCCTGAGGTGCCCAAATTTTGCTTCTATCCCACTTTAGGTACCTAAGTAAAAAACCTGTAATCCTGCAAAACCCTGCTTAGTTAATGTCCGTCCAACTCAGAAGGTGCCTGTATTTCATAGGTACCTGTTTTTGGTATTAAAATTTCTGCCTTTGGCACACAGAGGCACCCTAGTCTAACGTGTCTGTAACTTGGGAGCTTCCAGCTGTCAATTTTAAGGGGTACCAGGAGGTGCCTCCCTTTACTAAGGAATCTAAACCCTGGAGAAGGCGGGGATTACAGATGCAGCCCTGTCTTCATCATTTCCCCAGGTATCTCCCTGATGATTGTACTGACTGTTTTGCATCCCATCCTGAAGTGCCCAACTCTCACTGTGCATTTTACAGGGAATCCAGTTGCCAAGCAAAGGGTTGTGGATTCTATTAACAAGGCTAAAATCCAGGGGTGGAGGTGGTGCACTGGTTCACTTGCACCCCACTTTGATTCCTGCTTTACTCAAGGTTTAAAACCAAATGCCTGGCAGTGGCAGCAGTATTTCTAGGCAGGCAGTGCTGAGTCAGTTGACTTCATGGCTCATTATAATCTACCTGATCTCTTTATTCCACAGATGCTAACAAGCCTCTCTTTTTTTAATGGTCTTGATGGTCCACCAATCAAGCTACCCTTTGTTCTGCAATTCTGCCCTCTGGTAGAGCTTCTCCTGGTAACAAAGCTCCTACTTCACGCTCTTGCAGACTGTTTTTAACTCATTCCAATTAAATTATATTTGTTTTTGCTTCAACATAGCCCTAGGATTCTAGCACGTTAGGAAAGCTTTTATTTTGAACTGGACAAAAATGTGTTTCATATGTGATGATGCACCTCATCATCTGTACCTCTTTTCAAAATTCTAGATCCACCCATGTAGGTATCTAATACTTTTTGTGAACTTGAGCCCTACTGGTCTCCCTCTGGAAGGGGTAAAGATCAGAAGACACTGGGTTACAGATGAATCGTATACCATTGGTATATCCCTGCTACCAAGGTTCCTTTAAGCTCTGCATGTGCACGGCTGTGCACAAAAAAAAAATCTTGCTGCACATTAACTTTTAATGCCGCACACCCTGCTGGAGAGGAGCTGGGCTGCAGCTTCCTAGAAACCTGGAGTGTGGCAGAGGCACTGGGGCCAGTGGTAAGTTACTGCTCAGCTGTGCTCCACTCCTCACCACACTGGCATCCCCACAGTGAGAGAGAGCAGTGTCAGGCAGGCAGTGGCTCCTCCCTGAGGCAAGTCAGGGGTGGGAACAGGGGGTTGGGCAGAGCTGGGCACTGCATGGGCTCCACTGGCTCTGGGGAACTGCTCTGCTCCCCAGCCCCTTCAGGCGAGTTTCACCTTGAGCCCTGATGTCATGTGCCTCCTTGCTGCCTGGTCTGCCCAGTTGCAGGATGCACAAGGCTCCACGCCACTTTCAAAGGTTGCAGAGGCACAGAGGCAGTGTTGATCACTTTTGAAAGTGATGTAATCTTGATACACTGAAGGTATGCCTGGTCTGCCCTCAGTACCCAAAAGCTTTACATAGTATATTAAATGATGTGATTTATGTCTGTCACATGAAATCCACTCTCTTTTGCATGCTGCCCTCAGGTGGAGAATTATACACAAACTTCTCTGTTTTGGTAGGATATTAAATTTTAATTAAAAAAAAAATTATATATGAGTTTAGTATTTCAGGACTCTTTTCTCCCAAATAACGTTGTGAGAATGATTTGTTCAGCACGCCGAAAGGGGGAGATGAGACCAATTGGGGAACGGACCAAAGCAGTGCGCTCACAGACCAAAGCAGTGTGCTCATGGATTGCTAAGCCTTAGAGGGAACATTGCCTGCTACTATGACAGCACACACAGAAGGTCCTTGCTAGTCACAGAAGTTCAGCACTGGCTATAAATACAGAGTTAAGGACTATTATAGGGCCCCTTGGGCAAAGGATAAATGTGTGAAAAATGAAAGTAGGCAGAGCTTCCTATCAGAGCCAGAACTTTCATACTTTTTTTTTTTTTTTGCTGGAAGTCCTGTAATAAGTCCACACTACCCATCACTTCAGCTAGAACTTAGGGTGAGAAGGAAATCAGAATCTATCTTGTAGCAAAATTATCAGAAACATTGTGAACCGGTTGCTTAAGAGAAAAAAATGTGTTAGAATTTATTGTAGAAAGGTTGAAAATTATTTCCTTCAAAAAAACACAACCAACTTCTGCTTTCTTAAGCTTTTGTGTACAATAATTTAAGTAAACAAATTGTTTCTCTGCTGCAGTGATTCTCAACCTGGGTACCAGGGCACCCTGGGCTTCCACGAGACTCTTTGAAAGGCGTGAGGAGTTAAGCAAGAAGTGAGGACATAAGTAGATAAACTAAGCAGATAAGTATAAGCTGACTCTCCACCACCACTGCCCAGCCTGCAAGGAGATAAGCACTATAATAAATAAATTTGTTTTGTGTAACTCTATTCACAAAAGCTATGGAGAAATGTCGTGTGTCTAAAGAGGTTGTGAACCACCATTCTGTTGTCTCCCAAGTCACATACCCTGCAGTCAGCATAAGCAGGAAGAGAACTTTAAACTGAAAAGTGTGTGTTAAAATAACTGCATTCAGTTTAAAAGCAAAAGTGGGTTTTAAATGTTGTTCAAAACTTCAGAATATTCCAATGCAATTCTGTAGCTGTAAAAAGAAGGAAGAAAAAGAAAAGAACACAATAACCGTTAGATTATATGGATCTACTAATATCTTATCTCTTCCCATCAGCGGATTCTGAAGTGTTTATGCAGGTGCTCCATTTTATACACAGGAAGACAGAGGCACAGAGAGAGGAAGCAATTTGCCTAAGGTCAGCTAATATACTAATTGCAGAACTGGAAATATAACTTGGGTCTCCCAAGAACCAGCACTCAATCCCTTGGATCACACTGTCTTCTAATGGACAGTCTCGGGATATGTAGTTCTTAGAAATAACATTTATAAAAATCTATTCCACTTGTCAGTGGCGTTGCATAATCCACATGTGTAATCATATAACAAAGCAAAATTCTGCTAAGTTCTCTCCCATACAGAAATCATTTCCAGACTAAGTGGAGTAAGAAGAGAGCCATCACACTTACTAGAAAATGCAGTCAAGTTCAACTCGGAATTAAATAGTTTGATGCCACTCTCAGTATTTCAGCATTGATAGAAACCTACTGGCATCAAAAAACTTGATATACAAGTTCATGTGTTCAATCAGACCACCTGAACATTGATAATGGTGGAATTCATACCTTATTATAATACACAGAGGCTGGCATAAAAGGGGATTAAAAGTTTTAACACTTTAAAAAAAATGAAAACCAAATATTGCCCTCCAAACTGCACACACTCTCCACAGGTAGTGAGAGGGAGTTATCACAAAACAACACTGAGACCAAGAGCAGCTTTGTACCATCTTACATTACTCATATTATAGTACCACCCCAAACAAGATCAGAATACTATTGATTTTGGTACCCATTCAGCCTCACAGAGAGAGAGTTCCCTATTCCATTATCTTATAATTTATTTGGAGATGCAAGGTAATAGTTCCTTGCTTAAGTTGCACAGATGCAGAAACAGCAGTCAAACTAAAAAGCTAACCCCACAGTAAGGCTGAAGCAGAAGACTGATGCTCATTAAAGGACTGTGTTCTGTACTGTACTACTACTACTAGTCTCCAGAGACATAACAAAAAGTCCTTCAGACAAGCTTGTTAGCCCACTCATGTAGAGCTCATTAGCACATGCCAGTAGACAAATGAGAAGTGTAGGTGGATAGTGAGCCCAGCCTGAAGTAAGTCTGTAGTTCTCAAAAGTTTCAAAGTATCTGTGATTACTATTTAAACCTCATTCCTTCCACCTTTTTTTAGTGCCTTGCTCCATCATTTTAAAATTACCACTATTTATAGTAGAAACTGTATTTTTTTTTCAATGTCTCAAAAATCTAGGTTTTAAGATTACTTCCATTCCAATTTGATAACACCGTTTTTTAGTTTGAGGGCCTTGGTAGACATTAGTTGTTGTGCATTATATGCAATGATCACACGACAAACTGTAACATGCCAAGCCGTTAAACAAGCTTATCCTTAGATAAAAATGGTGGATCAGCCACAAAGAAGTTTCTCATTGAACAACAACTTTTGTGGTGCAGAAGTATCCTGCAATAATTCTGAGATAGCCAGGTGGCATATTACTATTTGCTGTGCAATGCTTGCATATATGTGACAAAATGTGATGTTTGCCAAGGGCCTTAATAAGCTAATCATTAAACTTATGAAGCATTCTGCATGATTACTTGACAAGCCAGATATCCTCTCAAATTTTTATTTTCCTACACACGCTTGAGGCAAGCCTGTTTTTGGAGGCCAAACTTTAGGTCAACACACCAGTTACCATGAAGTCCAAACACACTACAGTGTTACATTACACCCTTTATTGCATCTTGGACAGTTATGATTTATTTACATGATGATATAAATTAGTTAAAAAACAGTACCCTGTAGCCAAACCCTTTGATAGTCAAATTTTGTATAAAGTTACTTATTGATTTATCAAAACAATAAGATGAAAAGGATAACTGTTTCTACTGTTTTCTGTATTTTAAAATTTGTAGAAGGACTTAAATCATCGCTATTGTATAGAGGCCTTTCAGGCTCTTTAGGATTTTAAACAGTTGTAATAAAGAGAAAGCCGGAAACCATTACAATGACATACTGTTATGGCTCAGTGACTTCAAGAGAAAAAGTAAACCCTGGACAGATAATATATTGCCTTTGCAGTGGTCCAAAAGTCAGGGCAACAAATGCATGTCCCCTCAGTTGGTGGTGGTGAGGGAAGCATAAAAGAAGAGCAGAGCACTCTGGGATGCTGGAGATACAGAGACCCCCTCTAGCACATTACATGTGGTGATACAAAAATGTAGTACTACAGAGAAGTTCGTATTTTAAACGATGCCATTTTTGTAGTGTTGGCACCAATTTTGTAGTGCGACACTTGTAGCCCTACACATGAACACGTCAAGGTTTAAGATGGTACAGCTGAGCTTCATCCAAGGCAGTGTAGAAATCAGTCCTCCTCTGAGTCACTGTCTTTCTTTGTAGAAAAAGAGCTCTTGACTGAGGACATTAGCTGATCCTGGATCTGTTTCCTGGGGTTTTCTTCTAGATCTGTCTTGATGGCACCTGACTCTGAAATCTTCCATTCAAGTTCTATACAGAAACAAAGAGGAGGGGAGAAAGTGCATCATAAGGTTGAAAGCTCAAAGTAAGCTCTTTCAAGCCTAGACCTCTCCAATAACACAAAGGGTAGAATTCTACCTTCCTGGTGCACCTAAATGGCAACTTCCTAGCTTGTTCCAGTGGTGTTTTTTGGAACTTTTGTGGAGGTTTCAATTCTACTGCCCCACATAGTGCACATAAGTGTAAGCATACGCAGTGGACTATGCACTGGCTTGCTATGTATGCAGCCAAATGTGTGTGTCCAATCTGGACATGTACATGCATCTAAATTACAAGAACATAAACAACTATAAACCCATAACTAACAGATGTTAGATGCTGCAGGATGGTTCTTCCATATTTTAGCCCCAGAAATTGAGTGGTGAGGGCATTTGCTCAAGGAGAGGGAAGATGGACTCTGCTCTCATCCAGAGGGGGTCAGAACAGACCTTCCAGCACAGTGTTGGGAACCACCAGGCCACAGATCAGACACTATCCAGACCAGGGATGGGTAAAGTCCGGCCTGCAGGCCAGATCCAGCATTTCCCAGCAGCCCCTGCCCACACGGCTTGGGCTGGTCTCCATGGAGACCCCAGCAGCTGTGAAAGCTCCAGGCTGGGGTTGCCATGCGGACCAGTCCCAGCCGTACTGGCAGGGCACAGGGCAGAGAAGGGCAGGGAGCTGCTCTGGAGCTGCTGGAATCCTGCAATGGGGGCAGCCTGCTATGGAGCCAGGGGCTGCTGGGAAATGGAGTTCAGCTGCCAGCCGGATTGGCTATTTTGCCCACCCCTGATATAGACCCTTCTCCAATGCTCCTCTCCTTTTGAAGTCAGTCCTCTGGCTAGCCAAGAGGGAGAAATGTGGAGTCACAGGGAACAATACAAGCTAGAGCGGGGGTGGGCAAAATACGGAGTGCAGGCTGTATCCAGCCCACTAGTTGATTCTATCTGGCCTGCCAGCCACTGCTGTCTTAGGGTAGCTTATCATATTTTATGCTTTAAAGTTGCTGCACCTGTTTACAGAGCAGTGAATTACAGTACTGTTTAAACTTTTTTTTTTTTTTTAAATATTCAGCCTTATTTAATCATTGCTTAAGTTCTGTACAGCCTCATAATTATCTGAACTTTTCATTTTGCTTATCAGCTGGCCTTGAGTTGTTTTTGCCGAGCTCAAAGTGCTGATATCTATATTGTATCTTTTCTTTTCTACCACTGTGAGTTCTTCTAACATAACTTAGTAATGGCCTTACCACCAGCTCAAATTAACTGAACTTGGAACTAGCCATGCCACTGCTCTGCCACAGACAGGACTGGGCCGGGCAGTGCGGAGACTCCTTTGCCCCTAGTCCTGCATCCATCCCCTCTCCCCCAGCCCAGCTTCCTCTTGTCACTGCAGCTGCACAGTCCTGGAACCATGGCTGCTGGCAGCTGGACACACATGGGACAGGGCATGATGCAGTGCACCAAGTAGCTATCCCGCTTGCTTGCCTGCCGCTGCCCGATCTTCCCGGTATGGCGCAGCAGCAGCAGTGGCTCATCATAGCATGTATATGAGATAGCTACTTAATACACTGCACCATGCCCTGTCCTGTGTGTGGGCCCAGCTGCCAGTGGTGCCAGGACTATGCAGCACCAACAGGAAGCCCGGGGGGGGGGGCCAGGAAGAGAGGGAATGGATGTTGGGGAGGGGTGCGTAGAAGTCTGCCTAACCCTGGCTATAGCACAGTGAAGTGCAGTCCTCCCTCCTCAGGCTCCCAATAGCAGCTTGTGAGCAGGATAGGATCAACTGCATCTCCCCACTAACCCCTGACCTGCCCTCAACAGCTCACCATTAAGTGGACCTTCAGCCCAAATAATTGCCCGTCCCTGAGCTAGAGGATGTGTAAGCCCAGGGGGATGGCTGCTGCCTGGAAGAGAGGGAGCCCTGGTTTCTAGCTCAGAGCCTGACTCCCAATGGAGCAGAAACTTTTCCATAGCACTACCTGCCATGCATTTCATCCAATGACTATTAAATGGAAGGGGCATGGGCCCAGCCTCAAAAGAAACATTGGAGAGGTGACTGGGTAATGTCTGACTTGTATGGTTAGTGCATAGTGCTGTGAAGTCTGGGGCACAAGTTCAAGTCCCCCGAGTGAGGGGGATCTAGAATCCAGGTCTCCCACTTTCTGGACAAGTCCCAACCACTCAGCTATCAGGGCTAAAACAGAAGGCATCCCCTCCCCACAACTTTTCCAAATTCATACCCTGGTATGTGCATACATAGCTATGTATGTGCCCAGCCAGTGTGTAGCTGTCACGCACATTCTTTTTACATGTAGGTGCTTATACCTCCACAGTGCAGAAGCAAGATCAGCAACATAGCTAGAAAACTGTCATTTAGGTACACAAAGTGAAGAAACTTCTGCCTGAAATCTTTACTTTGTGAGATGGAGTATAGAAAAGCCACAAATAAGTCTTGTGTGTGTCTTGGGAAATTTAAACTATGCTTAAAATGGACTAGTCAATGGTTTTCATTGATTGTAGCAATACTTCCAACAGACAAAAGTTGCTTCAATCATACAGCAGCTGAACAATTGGAAGAGGCAGAGAACAGATTATCTGCTAAGGGAAAAAGCTGCCGCAATTCCATTTACACATCTGAATTACAGATACTGTCACAGACAGATTTCTGAAATGCACTTTATCCACTTCCCAGCACTCCTTGTACAGATTATTAGTTCCTTAACAAGAGGGGAAAAACCACACTCCTCTACCCACTAGTAGACCTATTATTATAAAGGCTCAAATTGGATTTCTTCCCAGAAGTGGAAGAGTGTCAATACAAGACGTTCAGCAGATACCTCTCCCCTAGACCTGCTGGCAATCCAATCATTAAATCTAACTTCATTTAGACATAAAGGAAATGACTACAACTTCACATTCTCTGCAATCTCAGAGAGAAGTTACCCGCTTCATACAGATAAAAAGAAAAAGAATGCAGAGTGTGCAATGTCCAGTTTCATGTGATGATGAAACTGAGCTGGCATAACCCTCATCTCCAGGTACCTGAAAAATCTATTACTTTAAGTGCCACAAATGGAGAACAGATAACATAGGGTTGTTACTACTTCTTTCTTAAGTGTTCGGTGTTCCCAAACCAAATTTTTCATTGGTGAACATTTCCCCTGGAAATCACAGTAAAGGAAGACTCTGATACACATCCAGAAGATTCTGGAGTCTAGGGTTTTAGTTCAATCATAGCTCTGATTAGTGGAAGTCTACTTGTATGCCATTACAATAAAACAAAGTGATGGGCTTTAGTATAGCACATGAAATGCCATTTAAGTAAAGACACAAACAAATCATTTTACTTCTAGGCCCTTGGACAGAAAGCCATAAAGAAATCTGATAATAGAGGATTTAATTGTAATTTAAAAACAGTAAATTTCTACTGAATAATCACATTCACTCAGTTTCCAAAATGGAGAGAGTGTATAATATGACTGACATTTTTATCTCAAGGCGTCACTTAAATTTTGTACCCTTCCCAATCACTGCCAAGCAAAAACTTTTGTTTAAGAGGCTGAGGAGGGCTGTCATTCAAAGGCACAAAACTCCTGGTGCTGAAATGCTTTGTTGCACCCCACTGTACACATCTATCCCAGTGTGAATGGAGTATGTCAAAATGACAAGGTTCAACAATATGGCCAATCTGTACCATGATTACTTGCTGCAGCTGAAAGAGGTGGACTTCTTTGAGCCCTGACTGCCCTGACCCTCAAGAAGTAGTAGCTTCACCCAAATGAGATTCTTCTCCTACATCAGGGGTCGGCAACCCTGGCACGCGTGCCGAGCATGGCACGTGAGGCCATTTTGCTTGGCATGCCACCACCAGCCCTGGTTCTGGGTAACTGCTGCCAACCACAGAGCCCAGGCTGCAAGCCCTGCTCCACGGTTGGCAGCAGCTACCCAGAGCCAGGGCTGGGTGCAGCAGGAAGGCTGTGAACAGCTGTGCCAGGCTCCAGCATCAGCTGTGTACTGGCGCGTGCATGCACGCCTTGGAAAACATGGCGGGAGGGGCCTGAGGCAGTGCAACCCCAGTCTCTCCTCTGCTGCCGGCACAGAAGTGATGGCAGGGCTCCAGAGCCCGGCGCAGCTGTTTGTAGCCAGCCCGGGCTCTGGGCAGTTGCAGCAAGCAGGCTGCAAACAGCAGTGCCAGGCTCCACAGCTCCGGCATCAGCTCCATACTGGTGGTGACTGCGCATGCACCTCGGAGCAGACAGCGGGAGGGCTGCACTGCCTCGGGGCCAGGCCCTATCCCCACTGTCCACTCTGAGGTGCACGTGCAGTCACTGCCAACATGGAGCTGTGGAGCCTGGCACAGCTGTTTGCAGCCTGCCTGCTGCTTGCTGAAGCTGCCCAGAGCCCAGGCTGCCTACATGCAGCTGAGCCAGGCTCTGAAGCCCCACTATCAGCTCTGTGCTGGCAGCTGGGGAGAGAGCAGGGCTGTGCTGCCTCAGGCCCCTCCCACTGCCCACTCCAAGGTACGCGTGCATGCGCCGGTACAGAGCTGATGCTGGAGCCCAGCACAGCTGTTTCCAGCTTGCCTGCTGCAGTGGCCCAAAGCCCAGGTTGGCTACAAGCAGCTGCTCCGGGCTCCAGATCCCAGTCATCAGCTGTGCTGGCAGCAGGGGAGAGGCTGGGGTTGTGCTGCCTCAGGCTTCACTGTCTGCTCCGAGGCACACATGCAGCTGTTTACAACCTCCTGGCTGCTGCCAGCCCCATCTCTGGGTAGCTGCTGCCAACTACAGAGCCTGGGCTGCTTGCAGCAAGGCTTGCAGCTGAGCCAGCCTGATTCCCACCTGCCCTAAGCCCAGTGCTGGCCCAGCCCCCACTACTGGGATGAGGCTGGCGCTGTCCCTTGCCAGGAGCACCGCACCTTTACGGGCTTAGCTGCGTGGAGTGGTTAGGTGGCTGGGCTGATGGGCAGGCTCTGGGCCAGGGCCTCAGCTGGCTGTGCTGCAGCCTGGGGGCTGGCTCCCCAGGAAAGCACGGGGGCTCCAGCAGGCCCAGGGCACTGTTGGGTCAGACTTTGTCTGGTGGCCCAGCAGCCCGGCTCTGTGCACCCGTGCATTTGGTTCTGTATGTGTGTGTGTGCACACGTCTGGTTCTGGATGTGTGTGTGCACGCGCATGTGTCTGTTGTGGCTGTGTTCGTGCACATGGTTCTGTGCATGTGTGGTTCTCTGTGTGCATGTATATGTGCCTGGTTCTCTCTCCTCTTTTTCCTTTCTTTCTCTCTCTTCTTTGCCTTATTTCTCTTCCCCCCCCCCCTCGCATTGCAACATGCTTAACAAAAAAGTACACAACAACAAAGGCAACATTTATGATTATTAAATATACTAATATGCAGTGCATCCTGCCTTATATTGCTCCCCCCACCCCTGCCAATTCTGTTTTTCTGGCATGCCAGCACTTGGGCACCTTCCAAGGTAGACATTGTGGTTTTTTCAGCACTCCAACCAAAAAATGTTGCCTACCCCTGTCCTACATGCCCCGCTCCTGAACCAAGCAAAACAAGAGCTGTACCTCCTATCTAGAGCAGACTCAGACTGTAATCCCTAAGGACATGAACACAGACATCACAGCTGCTGCCAGATGCAAGGGAAAAAAAAAAGAGCGAATAGTTCATTTTCATGTTCCCAGCCTCATCTGTGCCAAGGAAAGGGCTGTCTGTTAGGAGGTAGGGGCACAGTGACTTAGGAGTGGGTTGGGGAAGCATGACAGAAGAGACAAAGGGATCATCATTTGTTAACAAGAATGAGGGAGAATAAGGAATGCAAGTACAAAGAACTGTAGAAGAAAGAAATGAGAAAAATATATATTATTAATATGAATAATATCCTATATAACTTCTACTCCGATTCCAAAGGTCTGTGTAAGCTTATTGTAGGGGAGACCAATTAAACTGCTTCATACGCCTTCTGTTTTTTTCGGGCAAGATCCAGGAGGCAGGTACTTACCATCTCTTGTCAGGTTCATGCCACCAAACACTAGAGGTCCAATGAACTGGGCCTTGATATCTCCTTCAAGGTAGATGAAAATTGTGGGCAGGTTCCTATCAGGGTAGTTGGGTATGCAAGTTGTAGAAATAGCTTTGATAAATTTGACATCTGGGAATTTCTTTGCAAGTCCACTCAAATGTTGATTTATTAAAGCACACAGTGGAATTCTGTTAAAACAATATACACAGAAAGAAGAGTTAAGAAATAGTATGTCAAAAGTAATCCCTTCCACAAGGAAAGTTAGAAAAAGTATTTAAGAAAATGTAACAAACATAAAAATGTAACATAAATGCAACATATTTCTAGTGGCTTTCAATCCAGTGTAGGTATCTATTAGAGCCACTGGAGTTATTTATTATAATTATTTATTTGGTTTACAGGATACTGTTTCTATGAATAATGCGTGCTAAAAAAACAGAGATAAAATGGAAATAAAAAACAGCCTGTTAAAGAAAAGAATTAAACTTGTGCTCATTTTCTTTGTCTTTTAAACTGTGCTGTGCAGTTATGAAATTAATTAAAATAGGATTAAAGACGATGAGAACAGTCAAGTTTTTAGTACCCTTTTGAGAACCATGTATAGTGAAAATTGGTTAGGCTCCATTGAAAAACTATTTCTTAACATCAGTGGGACTGAATATCTTGCTTAATAGAGTTTTGCAAATCAAGACAAGCCACAAATAATCACCTTGAGTACATAGCCTCAAGCAATATAGAACATGGCAACCTCTGCTCCTCAACTTTTCACTGTAAGAGGATGCTTGTATTAGCAGGCAGATTTTGGCTCCAACATCTGATGAAGTGAACTGGGTTCATGAAAGCTTGTGTGCTCTCTCTCTCTCTACATACTACATTTACTCCAATATAAGATAACCCTGAATATATGATGACCCTTCCAGTAATTAGGTTCTAAATATGGAAACGTTTATAAATTTGTCATAACGTTCCAGGCATAGAATCTAATTACTGGAGGTTTGCCTTGAATTTGTCCCCCTCCCACTGCTACAGCAGAAAAATAAATCTGGGGGGAGGGGGGGTTGGTTGGGTGGTCCCCTTGCCCTGTGCCCATCCCCCAACCTCTTCAACATAGCCCTTTCCCTTTCTCCTTATTGTTAGACCCCAATCTCCCTGAGCACGTGGAAGTGAAGTGCAAACTTGAAAACACTGACTTTGAAATAAACATGCAGTTACTATGCATACCCATAGACACAGTTCGTGCAATTACTATGGGTACTACAACTCATCCAGAATTGATACATTTTACCTTTTAGGAAACTGCTACAAATTTTAGCACAGGTATTGCATAAACACGTTTTTAAGCAGATTTTTGTGCCTATTTATATATAGAACAAATTATGCATGAAAAAGGCTCATGATTTACCATATAAATGGGCCCCAGCAGAGTCAACAGCATCTCAAGCCATGGTGACCCCACAGCTCAGAACTTCTCAGTATGTGTGTGTAGTCCAGATACCCTCCACAAAGGATACATGTGCTAATTAACACCCCCTAAACTCATGACTGAGGGCAACCTGGTCCAGCTCAGTGTCATAGAGGGTGGGAGCACACTAATCATATGTGACAGGCAGAGATCAGGAGGTGGAGAGGCAAAAGAGGGATTCTGGGTGAACTGTTTGGGGCCCCTTTTGGTGATGTTTTCCAGGCATCTGAGGCTGGTGAAGAAACAAGCATCACTGGAACTGGGAAAGAAAGGCTCAGCTTGCTGTGAGAAATTGTAATATATTCAAGGTAATGGCTCGCCATGACCAGTAAAAGAGCTGGCACTGAAGGAGAGTTTGTGCAATAATCATTATCACACATCATACTCAGCTGGGCTGTACTAACCTATCCTTGTGGTAGGTTCCCATCAGCATGTTTGCCCAATATGGACCATGTGTTTTATAATCATGTTCAGTGTTGGCTGCACTTAATGAACTTCCTAGTTAATTTTTATTACTGAGCACATGCTGCTCAGTAGACAGTGTATTTAATGATGTTTCTTTGAACGCAAATATGAGACAACGGGCTTTTCTCCTAATGCTGACTGAGGGGGAAAACCTCATCTTGTATTTGAGTGAATACAGCATATATATTTTATTTGGTTAGTCTATAAAAGTGCATATCTACTCTGCCTTCTGACTGACTTCAGACTAACGCAGTAACTACCTCTCTCTTGGTATACATAAACATGCTGCTGTTTTACGGAAGCAATTTTCAGTAGCTACGTTTCAACGCTGTTCATAACTGATGAAAATAAGAAAAAACACATTCAATTGGAATTCTTTGGTGTCCATAATGGTTATGCATTTACCTAAAAATACCAGCATGTTCAGATGCAGTTAGTGACCAATGTCAAAACTGACAAAGAGACACTCCACAGTTTACTTACCCTTGTTTGTAAAGATGCAAGATTACCCATATATCTTTGCCAGCTTTCGTAACTTCTTGAACATAATCCAGACCTGAAATCTCCAAAAGTTCCCCAAATTTGTTCTTCATTTGAGTTGCTTTCCATTCTGCAAGCCTTTGCTGTCTGTACAAGGACAGAAAAAAATGGAAAAAACAGAAATCAAAACTTGAGAAAACATGTAGTTATTGCTTTGCTGAACACAAATAATTAAAGTTATAGATTTTGAAGACCATCCCACAAAGATAAGCTTTAAATATCTCCAAGCACCAGGATACCAAAAGATGGCTTTTGTAAAGAAGAGTAGTTGAAAGTCTGTACATAACCTTAGTTTATGGACCTATGACGCAAGGAGTAAACTGAGCTTAAACTGGTATCCGTTTCCCCTGGGAGAGTCACTGCCACCAAACACTGGAGATCCAATGAATTGGGCCTTGATGTCTCCTACATATTAAATGAAACCGCAAGAATATAGATATTCAGGATTTTTCTCCCAGAGCAAAAATGGTCGCTGCACAAGAAAAATAACCCAGGAACAACCAGGGTTAAATCACTCCCGGGAAAGTTTCTCCTAGGAGAGCCAATGTCTGTAAACATTCTCATCTGAGAGAAGCCCAGCACGGTCCAATAGCATCTGAGGGTGCTTTGTTGCCATCTTCCTACCCCCAACAGTATGTCACTTGCTGGACTCTGCTGCTCCAGATGAGCAGGGAACAGAACACATCCCCTTCACAATCCCCATACTGTGCTGCAGGAATATACAAGATGACTCTTGAGTAGTCTGGCTGCAAAGGGCAGCTAATAAGGGCTGCCCTGTGCATTGCTGCCATTTTGCCACCAGGCAAACTGAGGGAGCCTGAGGCTGCACAGCATCAGCATTGCAAGCTCTCTAGTCTTCAGAGGCCCAACCTTTGAAAGTGTGTTCAGGAATCCCCAGGTAAGTCATACCAATAGAACACCAAGAGCATTGTCCCAGGTTATCTGAATATATGTACACAGTTCATAATAGCCAACATCACAGATTCTGCCCTAGAAGCATTTTTAGCCGTTGTGCTTGATAAAATACTTGTTTACATCTAAAACATTACATTTTTCAAGTAATTTAGGTGCCTAACTTGAATGCCAAGGATTTGATTTTCAGAGGTCCTCATAATTCACTGATTTCCACTCAACTTATGGCTTTACGGTACATCTGAAAGGTGAAGCCATAAATAGTTAAATGTAGACTAAGTGTCTTAGTTAAGGTCATTCAGAAATCTGTCAGAACAAGGAGCAGAACACTAGTCCTTTCATCTGTCACTTCTGTATTTTTTTTCCTTCCTCCATTCTCCAGCAAAATTAAAATCAGATTACATCTTATTTGCCTATAAAGACGTAAACATTGTATTTCCATTAAAATATAGTAAATTCTGCAAGCTATTCTAACCTGTACATTTCAACGGCTCTCTCATCCTCCTCATTAAACTCATCTTCATTATCTTCTAGCTCTTCCAAAGTCATGTCTTCATAGGTTTTCACTAGAGAGAGAGAAAAATAGGAGGAACAATAGTCCAAAAGAATACATATATTACAAATTTCTGGAACACTGTGTTCTCCTGGCCTCTGAAGATGCATACTTCATTCTGATTTTTCCTAAATTGTTGAACAAAACAATATAAAAATGATTACTGGGAAAAGAACAATGTTTGGAAACCCCAATTTACTAGTTTGGACATTTTCTACATTTAGCAGGTGGTAAAGGATACATCAGAGGTACAGCCAGTTACCCTGTGGCATACATTCGCTATTATGTAACGTCACTTTATTAAAAACCTGAGGAACACTTAGGAAAATTAAGATGAATCAGCTAATGGTGTGATGTTAATGTGCAAAAATAAGAAGTATTAAACCCTGTGCTCCAAGCCCACTTTTCACCTAAAAAAGAGACTCCACATGGGGGCTTAACACACTTTAAGTAACATGCATTGACTTAACACCTTCAATGCAATCATTTTAAATTTCTTGAGAATCCCTATGCAAGCAAACCCTGATGAAGTACTCTCACAGTTTTAACTCTAAATAAACTCGATAATGGAGTATTCAGGGAAAACTTTTTTCTTCTGAGCATCAAGTTCTTTTTTGGTTGGGATCACGGGCGCTTTTACTTTTGACAGATAATCAACAAGCATTCCATTAACTTAACACTAGCGCTCCAAAACAACTTATGCAAGTCATTAAGTTCAGAATTCACCACCTTTGACTCTGGCCCTTGCTTCTACCCCACAAAGCCATTAACAATGATAACTATGGCCAAAACCAAAATATTTTAGTTTCTTTCAGATGAACACAGACTATTTTCTTTCTCTTACAACAGAGATAGAAGTCTCTACAAGAACCCCCAACTCCCAACGTCCTCATGACCAGGGATCCTGGTTTTTCCTCATTAAAAATTCCCCAATTTTCGGTTGGAAAAAAAAAGTAACCTAAAATCTACACTTTCCATGATTAAAAGGAAACACCACTAATATATAGACAGATATATAGTGGTGTTTCCTTTTAATCATGGGAAAATGTGGGTTTGGGGTTTTTTTTAAACTGAAAATTGGGGATTTTTTTTTTTTTTTTTTTTTTAAATCAGAGACAACCAGAATCCCTGCTCATGAAATTTCAGGATATATTTAATTAATCTCTGCAAAATGATGTCAACGAGTTCTCTTACTCCTCTGAATCATGCTAAAAGAAAATGTTCATTCCAGAAATAAGAACTGCTGTCAAAGACAGTCTTGCAGAGCTTTTTGTTTGTATTTTGCTTGGTTTCAGTTTTAAAGATAGCTCTCCTTGTAAATCTATCAACAGATTTACAGCATTATTAGCTGATTTTTCTAAAATTCCACAGTGCACTTAATTTATTTAGATATAAACAAAGATGTGAGGACCATGATCCAGTGGACTGGCAAACTGAAGTGTGTCTCAACCCTGCAAGTGCAGTGCGGAAATATACCTGGAGGTATACATGCTCCAACATGGGTTAACAGAAAAACTTCTTTCTTGCCTTTGAAGGAGATGGGTTTCTTGTTACACAGGCATGTTGGTACTTATTCTGGATTTATTTTGCTTGTTTGTTTTGCTTTTTAAAAACTGAATAAGTTTAAATGTGGCAACAGTATCCAGAATGAAGTTCTGAGGAGGTGGAATGCATCAAAAAGTTTGATGAGCTTACTTAGCTGAGCCTGTAACAAGTGAAGCATGCCACATGAAATTTAATCTTGGCATCCTCTATAACTAGGGGCGGGGGGGGGTGGTTTACCGTTAGGCTTTTTCAAAATCGTTGACAGTAATTTCAGGGCAAAACTGTACAGCAACAACTCAAGATTTAATTTGCCACTGTCTGTCCCCCCCCCAAACTCACCAATGGACTGCTGTTGAAGAATACGCAGCTCTTCCTCCTCCTTTGCCTGCTCTTGTTCCTTAAGTTTTTCCTTCGGAGGAAGGATGCCCTTTTTACGCAAGATGTCATTCCACTCGGTATCTTCATTAGGGTTCTAGAACAAAAATGGAAAAGGTGCATTTCTCCAAGGGAACATTTCTGAAACCTGTTAATCCAGACAACTTACTATTACTTATATCAGCTTTTTCTAAAAGTCACACATCATTATTAGACTACTAACTCTTGTCATATACGCACCATGAAAACATGCAGAGAATCTGGTGGGATTCCTGTACAGGCTTGAAATGATGCCCTACAAAGTAGCTTTGTGCCATGCTCCTTTCTCTTTTCTCCTAACTTATTAAATCTACAAAAGAAGGGCTTCTGCTGCAATATCTCAAAAAAAGAAATTGTTTTCTGCAATTTAAATTCTACCCCAATAGGGCCTCCAAAGGAAAAAAAGGTGATCTAGGTCAAGAGCATTAGGGAAGACGGAACAGGGTGTCATGACCCAAAAGGCATGATTGTGTGTGTGTGCTTCGGCACCAGAATTATCCCCGTCAAGTTGCAGAGCATTGCACGGGAGTGTTTCCTGTAGCAAGAGGAAACCCCGGTGCAGGGACGAGTTTCCCGCCTTTTCTGCAGCTTCTTTTGCAGAGTGCATTGCTCAAGTTGCAAGAGGAATGCATGGTGCAAAAGAGTTCCCGCCACCGGTATGCAGATTCGTTCCCCGTGATTGGCTAGTGCTAAATTATTCACACGTGGCGGCTAACGATTGGCCTGTTAGCCGTATAAGAGGTTTGAGCGGTTTCCGCCCAAGCGGAAGAGGACTCCACATCCATCTCGTGGGGACTCTGGGTACACGGCAGGGTAATAGAAACCCTGTGTGAAATCCAGAGGAGCGTGGCGGCCTGATCCACCGCCCACCTCTTCCCGTCTTCGAACGCAACTTTTATAAGACGTATTTACGATTCCTATTTTGGTGGCTCGTTCACCCAGAGCATCCGGAGCTCTGTACCGTGGAGCCTAGCAACCTCCACGAGACCGTCTGTGTTGTCTGTCTGTAACTGCAACTTAATCAAGCTTTCCAGCCCACACCACTGCCATCTCGGTGTAAGTAAACAATCTTTTAAACTACCG